CACAGCGGTGGAAGCACGCAGAAGCACGCGGGTTTGGGCTTGGGAACGAAGTTTAGCAAGTTGACGTGCCTCAACACCAAGCGTGTGCTGCACAAGTTTTGCATATTCCTGAAAAGGCTTTCCGTCACGGTCGGTCGCACATTCTCCTGAAAACTCAGAGGAAAGGCCGCGGATAAACCAGAAAATCCGATCAACCTCCCTTAAGTCAGGAATGGGTGCTATGAGAGCCTCGAAACGACTATGGTACGCGGCTACCGTTTCGTTTGCCCGCATCTGATGCTGCCCAGCAGCAAGCTTTTCTAGTGCTTCTAGTTCGCACGTTTGAATCTGCGGGGCAAAAACGAATTAATAGCGCCTCCAAAAGTTGCTCTGAAGTATATTGCAACGTTGCAATTAATTAAATGGTATTGGTTCTTGTCTTTAATTAAATGGTATTGGTTCTTGTCTCATCACATATAATTGAGCCAATAACCATTATCATGCGTTATGGACAAACCAAGGGACCGACCGACTGACTGACTCAGGGCAAAAAGAGGCCAGATGCGGGACTTAGCGATGGGTTGCACTGAAACACAATGTGTGAGTAGGTGTTGTGTATCTAAAATGTACGCACCTACCCATACATAGATGGGATACCCATGTATGTGTGCCTAGTAGAGCTATATATCTGAACATTTTACGATTTGTGAGCGCCTATATAGCTTAGTGGTAGAGCGTTCCCTTCGTAAGAGAAAGGTCTTGAATTCAATCCTCAATGTGGGCATTTTATGTGTTGCTGGGATGTTTGTATGGCTGCAATCGCAGTCTTCTACTGAAGCACATGTACATGTCTTTACGATTTCATAGGACATCAAGGGAAAAGGTCCTGCGTAAAGTCCTGCACACAGCAGGAAAACAAGGGAGGATCGTCCGCCTTCAGTCTGTATCACTGCCAATGGAAAGCATCTATAAAACGTAACTAGCACTATTCCGTTCTGACATGAATGAGCTTTATTGGTTGATACAGACATATAGCAGTTTCGTCGTTAATGTTTGCGAGCTCCTGTACATGGCTCCGATAGCCTGCTGGATGCCTATGCATGCACATGCATGCATGCATGCATGCATAGGCATGAAGAAATGTAGACCAGCAGGCGATTCATATGCATATGTCGAGTAATAAGTACGAAGGTGGGCATCACATCCTAAAGCACCTGCCTGTACATGGGGATGTACATGTGCCACATGGGTAGGTTCAAGGCCTAGGTGGGCGTCTCATTTAATCGGCTGTGTAATTGGTTGGCTAGAGTTATGTAGGATTTCTGGATGGGGTAGCTATAGCTATGCATGCTAGCCGACGATGTTATTGTGTAGTACGCTACATTTCCCTCCAAATATTTTAACGATTATTAATAACAACACCTGTTAATTCCGTTGACGATTCGACTCAAGTTCCGTACATGTACATGTCACACAATATCATGACACGGACATATCGGATG